TGTTTTTACGTATTTCACGCATAGTAAAGTATTCGAAACTTTAAAAAAATAGATATCGTTAAAAATAATGGATTAATTTTTGTTGAAAACGTTGTTTTTTTAAGATGGCTGGTAAATGTAAATAAATACATTTACTAAGAGTATAAAATGCTAAAGTAAGGTTAAATTATTACTTTCATATAATAGAATAAAAACACCGCTATAATAACATTGCGCCAACATTTAATTGGAATAAAATATTACTTAAATTGAATATTGAATTAAAAACATTAACCAACGTTTAAAAGATTAAATTTTCAATTACTTAAATTCAAATCCTTTAAAATAAGTTTTATAAGATATAATTAGTTAACATTAAACATATGTGGCAATAAATATTCTCAGAATTTTTGAAAAAGTGCATAATTGTTAATAAAAATTGAATACAATATAAAGTAAAAGAAAAATATGTACTTACATTTTTTTTAAGCATTTTACCTTAAGTATATTGATAAGTACCAGAAAAAAAAAAAAAAAAAAAAAAAAAAAAAAAAAAAACGATCTTCATCTGTTATCCCTATCTCTCGCATTTCATTGAAGAAGCAATTAGCGAAGTTTTCTCCAAAAATTTTTAATAAATTTCCTCTGACCCTTGTAACAATAAATAAATCTTTGATTAGGAAATCCAGGTTGGCCAAAATAAGGTCTCAGACGGCAATTTTTTTATGCCGAGACCAATAATTCTTGGTAATTACCCATAACAAAATTTATCTTCGAAATGGAGACATCCATTCGCTTTGAAATCTGAGGAATTTGAAGAGATGAATAATAAAATTTTAAAATGGCGCGGTAATGCACAAATATTCAGTAACCAATCAGGGAGCTGATTACATCACGCATAGAATTAAAATTATTTAAATAATCATTCATAATAAAATCATATTTAAAAAATTGCAAAATCAAATTGTATTTTAATATTTAACAGCCATAAGTAATGTTTAAAACATTAGATTAAATTTATAGATATTAAAACCAATTACTTTTAAAATAATGTGACGCCATTCATTACATCATTCACAACATAAAATTCCATAAAATATCATAAAAAATAAAATTTTTATTTCAAATAAAAATGCAAAATTAAATTCATTTTTGTTATTTTGAAGTCATAAATAATATTTAAAACACGGAATTTATGCATAATTAAAAGCATTATTTTTTAAATAAAATGACAACAAAGTATCGGTTACCATAAATAACTTGTCCAGCAATAAGTTTACCATAAGTCGTTTGCTCGCCAAAAAAAAATCGCTAAAATCTGTGCAACCGTCTACCAAAGTAGCACCACTGGCGCGATGCGCTGTTGTTCATGACGTCAGCCTGCGTGCTAAATATTTTAAATGTTTTCTTGTAGACAGAACTGAGAAAAAACTGATCTCGGAAGCGTAAAAGACTGTTATGATGAAGATAATGAAGTGCTGACTTATTAAGATTTTTTTGTCTTTGTTCATAATGCATCCAGCCTCGGGTAGAGGAAGCCCGTAATTGAATGAACTGTTTTGAATATATATTTTTTAAATATATATTTTCTGTGTTCTTCGTAATATAGTGGTACCTTCAGCGGGACCGGGTGCTATGGGTTAGTATTTTCGGACTGAACTTCTGATTTTGAATATATTTTGAAAATGGATTTGATCGCTTTAAAGGCGCAAAGAAAAGGACTTAGAATTGCGTTTTCGCAAACCTCAAATAAAATCGAAACTGAATTAACTAAAGAAGTAAGAGATTTAAAAATCCTTTCGATTTTGAAGTGTCAACTTTGTGATAAATTCCAGAGACTTAACGTATGTCAGAGCGTTATTTCGCAGCAGATTTTGCAGACTGAAGATGGTGAAAAATTATTTAGTGATGACTTTGAAGAAGTGGAGAATTACCGAGACAAGTTTCTAGAACAGTGTGCTCAAATAGATGAGGAAGTACAAGCCTCCTCTCTTCCAAGTAATTCAGAATCCAGGAAATTTAAATTGCCTAAATTTGAGCTTAAAAAGTTCATTGGTGAAGCAAAAGATTACCTGACTTTTTGGAGTCAGTTCTAGAAAATCCATGACGACAAAAGTATCGGTGATGAAGATAAAATGCAGTATCTGTTGCAGGCCATGGAACCCAAATCGAAGGCAGAACGCCTAGTTCTTAGCGTTCCGGCAACGGCAGCTAATTATCCCAAAGCCATCGAACAACTAAGAGAGCGCTTTGGACGCGAAGATTTACTTGTGCAAATCTGTGTGAGAGACTTGCTAAGCCTAGTGATGAAGAAATGCTGTAACCACAAGAGCAAAAACTGATCTACCCTCCCTGTATGATGAACTTAGAAGGAAAATTGCGAGCGTTGGAGAAGTCTTGGGGACAAACCTAAGCAAAAATATGGGGATTTTTTGACTCCCTTAGTGGAAAGTTGCTTACCAGAAGAAGTACTGATGGAGTGGGAAAGAAGCCGAAATCACGACTTCATTGAAACTAAAGGGACTCTATCCTTGCAACATGTAATGAATTTCTTAAAACAGGAAGCCAAGAACGAAGAGATGGTTCTACTCCCAAGAACTGGTTTCACCTTCCAACAGAATCATCTGAAGAAAGACTTTCACCACGAACAGGTAAAGCAAAATGAACCCGTAACAATGTCAGTTCTAGTAAGTCTTGAGAATTCAGATAAGAGTATTCCAAACTGAATTTTTGTGAAACGAAACATTCTAGTTAAAAATGTTACTCCGTAAGAAATGTATATATATTCAAAACAGTTCATTCAATTACGGGCTGCCTCTACCCGAGATTGGGTGCATTATGAATAAAGACAAATATAATCTTAATAAGCCAACACTTCTTTATTTTCATCATAACAGTCTTTTACGCTTCCGAGATCAGTTTTTTTTCTCAGTTCTGTCTACAGGAAAACATTCAAAATATTCATTATTATTTTGAATAATAATGAAAACTAAACAAAGTATTTTGAATGTTTTCCTGTAGACAGAACTGAGAAAAAACTGATCTCGGAAGCTTAAAAGACTGTTATGATGAAAATAAAGACGTGTTGGCTTATTAAGATTTTTTGGTACTATTCCGTTTTGAGGACCGTAAAAATCGCCAAAGTATTGTTGATGCCAGTGCTGTTAAAAATAATTGCGGCAACCCCAACGCAAGAAAGGAAGTATAATGGTAAATAATTATCTAAGATTTTATTGTTTTAATTTAGATGAAAGGTTAATTTCATATAATACCTTTTTATTACAATAATTTATATAAAAAAGGCTAAATATAACTAAATGGAAGCATTAGAGAAATACCTATTTCAGATCTTTATAATTTTATATAAAAAAGGCTAAACATAACTGATGGATTCTGCATTGCTATTTCGCTACCGAGTTATCGCTAAAGCATAGTTTCATCTCGTTGGTTGTTCAAATATAATTTTCTATAATGAGTGATTTCTTTTATTTGAAAAAAAAATTATTGCAGACTTTTCGTCATGGGCAGTTACTAAATTGTTAAATCCATAGGATATCAAAAAAGGTTTTAAAATTTAAACTAGTATTTGAATGGCGTATATCTAAACTTATGCAATTTGAAATTAGCGCGTACGCTAGATTTGACGCGCTGTTAAATTGACGCGTTTGCTAGATTCGGCCCTTTTGCGCATACATTTTCGCTGCAATTTTTTTACGGTCCTCAAAACGGAATAGTACCGATTTTTTTTTTTTTTGTCTTTATTCATTCATAATACACCCAGCCTCGCGTAGAGGCAGACAGTAATTGAATGAACTTTTTTGAATATATATATATAATATATTTTCTATTTTCTGTGTTCTCCGTAATACTGGTCTAATCCTTCCGCTCCAGTGGATTCATGGCGGGTTTGCCGAGAAAACAAAGAAAGTTTTTTAGCTGCTGTGTCTAACCGCTTACGTTTTCGGTCAATTTAAATTTTTTGACTTTTTATAATAGTTTTATGACTTCATTTTAGTCTTAGTTTTCTAACCGAATTTTTTAATGTTTTTAAGTTTAAAAATTTCTAATTTTACGAATATATGTCATGTTATTTTTCCCCTTGGATTTTTCTTCAATTTACCGTGCCGTAAATATTTTGGCGAATGCTTCGAATTTTTCGCCAAATAATCAGCTTTTGACGACATCTGAATCCAGTTTCGATTACAGAACAGTACCCACATTTATTTAATTTTAGGTTATACATTTATTTCATTTCATGTTAAGATACACTACTGAGAACCTTCTATGAAGAACATCTTCAGTATATCAAGATAGAACAACTCGTACCGCAACTAGAATTTCAACCCATGTCCAAAGTTTTCGAATTTGAGATCTTTACGTTAGTCATCAAAATTGCGAATCCTATTACAAAATAGTGCCCATTATTATTTACTCTTCCGTACAAATTTAGAGCCGTTCTCAAGAGACCAATATAATGTATGCAAACAAATAAAAAAGTAATTGTACACTTTTTAAATATAATAAATTAATTAATTTTCGGAGAAATAGTTATCTGATGTCTATGCAAGTAATTTAAACAGTTATGGAATATAAACCAGCTTTATTATTCTTCAAAATAGTAGAAGTAGACTAATATCTGAATATCATTCATACATGAAGCTGGAGAGTAATTAGGTTTTCTTATGGTGGAGACGTGAAAAATGTGCAGGGTCTTCACCGGGATTCGAACTCTGAATTACCCGAATACGCGTCGAATGTACTCATAGTTAAATAACGAAGGCATGCGAAAAAATGGAAGAAAATACCTTATAAATTATTAAAAAAGGTATATCGTTGCAAGTTTTCTACCAAAATTTCGGAAATATGAATCTATCTCATGTGCAAGCCCATTTCCCACTTCTACAATATTTTTAAAAATCCAGGCTCGTCATATGCGTCAGGCTGTTTTATATTTATATGACAACGGGAACCTAATCTACCGTTTTGACCTACTTAAGTTTATGTAAAACGTAAATTCTTACCTGAACATACCGCCAACAAAAACCCAAAGAGGATGAACCACATTTTGATTCAAACTTTATAGCTTCTACGTGTCAGCTAGCAACAAATTTGAAGTACTACAGTCTACCAGCCCGCTAATAGTCTATAGGATTTTGAATTTCTGTATTTATAGTGGCTATGGCTTGCGGATGTTTATAGTTGTATAAGTCTAAGCTGAAAGGCGTTCCGGATATTTTTTTTAGCCAAGCCAATTAGTAGAGTGATTATGATTTATCTCATCTGAAAGAGCAGACGAAAGAGATTTCCTCTTTGAAAATGATTTTACTATTATCAAAATCTTCTAGTTAATTACTAATTATGCTTTTGTAAGGAAATCCGGTTGTTGTGAGGATATCCGATCATACTGCTTACTGAAAGGACCTACTTGTTAATATTTGAAGATTTTGCTTTCTTGACGTTATTTTTAAGAACTCAGCATGGAACTTTTTATACATTAGTGTTACGCATTAGTATTTATAGTAAATCGTATGTATATATATATGTGTGTGTGTATGTGTATGTAATAAAACATACTAATAGATGTAATAATACTTAGATGTAATAAATACTTAGATGTAATAATATAGGAATGTTGATTGCGTAGATATTGAGATGTTGATCCGTAATGAAGAACAAACTTGGCACCGGCGCAGAATAAACACACAGTTTTATTGCAATAAACATTTTGCGACCATAAACAAATTGGCAAACTAATCTTGCCTTTTGAACAACATTTACATTTTTGATATTGTTGCGATAGTAAGAAAGCAGCGAGGCAGCATCTTGGCGAGAACAGAGGTAGAAGCAAAGTACGTTATTATCCAGCATGGCAGCTTATTAAGAGAATGCTTTAAATTATTAAAATTGTGAGTTTCGTTCCGAATTAGTTATGCCATCAACTTTATATAAAATTTGTATGATAGGATTAATGTAGAAATGACGCATTTCACGGAACGTTATTAACATAAAAACATTTAAATCCAATACACATTTAACTTAGTGCATGCTGATGTAAGAATAAAAAAATAATTATATGCTTAAGCAATAAACCATTGTGACTAAATATACTGATACAGAACAATAAATTCAATAGTGCAATAAGTGCTCGAAAAGTGTAAAAAAGTAAAAAGTGAAATGATTAGTGGAAACAAAAATGTAGGGTAAAAGAAAAGAAATATATAATAAAGAATTTACATCTCTCGGCACACCGTTATTAGGGTGTTGAAGTATCGAGAATAACAAATGGAAGAGTCTGCTTCTGAATTGATAATGACAAAATGTTTCTAAATTTAAACTTCTTTAAACTACAAAAAAATTATAAAATAATTTGTCTCTTTATCAGTTTATACTTTATAGGCTACAGTGAGTAGAACTTTTGCTCAATTTTTCACGAACGCAAAATCTGTTTAAGATCCAAATAATAATAGCACAAAACAGCAACAAAACCTTTCAGTTAAATATAAACCATGCCGAACAACCTGGTTGTGAAATCAAACATAAAACAGTAAACGTAGCAATCGAATGAATCAAATGTATCCTGTAATCATCATCGTCATTGAAGTAAATTTTGTAATCCAAAAGTTGTTGGTTTAATTCAGTACATTAAATAAATCTTTAAATTCCGTAAACAATTCTTAAAATATTTTAGTGCAGCATAAAAAGTAAAATGCAGGAACACAAGGAAACACAGACATAAAAATGCTAAGAGCTCAAAATTTATTCAGAAGATATAACATATATTGTTATATATCGTCTGATTGCAAAATTACCAAAAATAATGTTTGCTTCCAAGATATTGAAAATTTGAATATGCCAGTATGATCCACAGAACTGTGATATATTTGAGCTTGATAACATAATGCAAGAAAAGCTGATTGCATTAATAGAATATTGTATATGTTATTTACAAAATGGGTACGCTTTGAAATTTAAAAGTTATGCGAGAGAAATGTCTCAAAATTAGAATCTGTGATTTTGTTTCCAAAATTTTATTTATATTTTTAAAATTAAAAAATAAATCTAATAAACCACTTTTTTAAAAATTTTGTTCACATTAGCCTGGTTTTATCTTTAAATTATTTGTATGCAGTTGTTTGTGCTATGATTATGTTGCATGCTGCAAATAACACAGAAAAACTAAGGCAGTCGATGAAGGAAAACCATTCGCTTAACCCATTTGCTGCTGGTGTTGCGTTGACGCAACGGTTAAAATAAATGCGTATATAAATATAACTACCTAAGATATTTTATACCAGCAGATGATTTTGTGTAGGGAATATTATGAAGATTACTTCTGTAAAAAAATATTTGCCTTCAACAATCATTTTGTTTATTAATCTCATACTTTAAGCAAAATTTAAGCAAAATTTTCGACCGGGTATTTTTGCTGAAAATATTTATCGAAAGAATCGCCGTCTTTATAAGTGATCTATTTTTAGTCAAGGTCACCGTTTATCAGAACATTACATCAGTCAGATGTTTATATTTGTGTTGGGAAGGAAGGGAAAACAGGTGTTGCGTAGACGCAACGTCAGCAGGAAACGGGTAGTCAATCTCCTTTTTCACTCATTCCTTTCGATGTTTTGGTTCATGTTCTGGTTGTTTAAAAATGTCTAGAACGAGGTATCTTACATTAAATGAAGCCCTTCAAAGATTTTTTGATGAAGAAACAGATGATGATAATGTTAATAATGACCAGAATGAAACTGATATTGTTGTTGTTCCCCCAGAAATTGCAGAGGCTAGTGACGAAGAAGAAAGGAATGGCAATGTTTTAAATAGTGATAATGATATTTTACCAAATGATACTGCTGGGGAAGTTGAAATTCACGTAAGACGTAAGTTTCAGCCTTCTGAAAGCAGTTATAGTCATACTAAAAAGTTTAAAAAGCAGAAGACTGAAATCTTGAAGTTGATAAAAAAGGAACTGTTAGTTATGTCTCAGGAAGAACATGAAAAAGAGAATAAAAGAAATTATAAAAGACAAACACAAGGTAAAACTAGTGCACAGATTTTCGATTTTCTTTTTGGTTTAGACATTTACTCTCTTCTCGTTGAACAGACAAATGTATCCGCTCAGCAGAAAAAAAAAGCCCAGAATTTATTATCTGAAGCCTATATGAGAAGATTTATTGGAATATTATTGCTTACAGAATATCATTCATTACCTCAAGAAAAAATGTACTGGTCTTTTGATAAGGACATTTCTGTTCCTGTTGTACGAGAACAGATATCACGTTTGCAGTACAGGAATATGAAGCAGAATTTGCATTTGACAATAGTCAAATTGACAATACTGATAAATTATACGAGGTGAGACCGTATCTAAACTTACTAAATGTCACCACTTTTTACTACTGGAAATATTAATTAATAATTATTAATAATAAGTCTCTTTTAGACTTCAGACGCGAGAATGCATTATTCCTTTTGAAAACTCCTATTGAGAGTGTAGAATCAGCCAGAAATAGATCAGCAACAGGAAGACCTAGTACATTCAGCATTCAAAAACCATTGCATGGAGATGGTAGACATTTTATCGTAAAGTCCGTTGATAACAGAAGACTTTACTAATTCAGAAGTCAAACAACAAAAATCAGCGTTATATTTACCAAATTTTCACAGGACTAGTTTCGATGCTTTTACCGAACCACCATCTTCAGCTGCAAAACCGCAAATGAACCAGATAGGAAATAATGATTAGATAAGATAAGAAAGCCTGGACAAGAATAAGCAAGTGGCGCCATCTGTTGGTAAAAACCAGAACTAAAACATAATTTCTTTAAAGGCCGAAGGCAAATTTGGATTGGAATTAGGATCGTTAACTAGAACAGAAAGATTTTTATGAATGTGAAATGCCTCTAGAAAATCCAGTTCTCCAATGGAAGATGTTTTTTGAATAATTTTTGGCAGCAGAAAAACTGAAAGTGTGGTTTTTGGACCAACAATGTTGAGCAACAGAAGACTTCTGTGTTTCCTTTTTTTCTAACATATGCCTCATGTTCCTTGACGCGCGAATTTTAAGGCTCTCTTAGTTTGGCCAATGTAAATTAAACCACACTGGCAAGGAATCCTATAAATACCCCAGGAATTCATATCCGGAATGGGGTCCTTGAGTATGGAACTCGGAATTTTATTGATGGGAGAATAATAAACAACCCGAAAGTTAAATTTCTGCAAAATATGTGCAACTTTATAGCTAATTGATGGAAAGAAGGGAATGACAACAGAATTTTTATAATCTCCTAAAACAAGAGTGTGCCTTTTAGTGTGTTGAGATGAGACTTTTTTAACTGCTTGATTAATAATGTTGGGTGGAAAGCCCCTGTCAATAGCTATTGCTTTTAAATAATTTAGTTTTTCATCAAGGGGCTAGTTTGGAGGAGCAAACTTGAAGAGCACGGAAAAAACATAGGAATAAATGAAGCTAACTTTGCTTAGTCGGATGACATGATTTAAAGTGTGGTGGAAGGCAAACCGATGAAGGTTTACGGTAAACCGTAGTACTGAAGTTGGATGTGTTACGTGTGACCAGAATGTCGAGAAACGGAAGAGAATTGCAAGTCTCAAGTTCAAAAGTGAACTGAATAGCAGGATCAATAGAATTCATTGTTGAAAGAACTTTATTTAAATCATCTTTATTACCTTCAAACAGAGTAAAAGTATCGTCTACGTAGCGGAACCATGCCGGGAAGTTTAAAGTTTCAAACAATTTTGATTCATAATAATGCATGTAGATATCAGCCAGGATGGGACTGAGGGGGCTTCCCATGGCTAATCCCTCAGTTTGCTTGTAATATTTATTTTGGAAAACAAATGTGTTTATTTCAAACAAAGTTGAGTGAGAGAAATTAGCTCATCAATTTCGATGCAAGAGAAATGAAATTCGCGAAGTCTGGTTTCTAGACATCTTAATGCACCCTCCACTGGGGTATTTATAGGATTCCTTGCCAGTGTGGTTTAATTTACATTGGCCAAACTAAGAGAGCCTTAAAATTTCGCGTCAAGGAACATGAGGCATATGTTAGAAAAAAGGAAACACAGAAGTCTTCTGTTGCTCAACATTGTTGGTCCGAAAACCACACTTTCAGTTTTTCTGCTGCCAAAATTATTCAAAA